GCGGCAAAGCAGAGCCAAGCCGCGGAGCGCGCGGTCAGCGGACAGCCCTGTCCGCTGCCCACGTGTTCCGCTGCTTTGCTTCCTCTCCCTGGTCTGCTGGAGACCAGGGAGAGGAACGGCCCCGTTCGTAACTGCGGATCCGACATAAGTCGGATCCGCGTAACTCGGGGACTGCCTGTACTCTCAGAGCTCCCACACAGGCAGAGAGCTCAGCTAACTGGCTGGGAGAGGAGCCATCTGACCAGCTTCAAATAGAGCTGTCCGCTTCAGATGGAAGTGCTCAGAGAGCAGGTAGGGAAGGTCTTGCGAAATAGGGTTTTCTCCAACATTAAATAGCAGCTAAACCTCTTCCGCAAGAAGTATTGGAAGAAGATATGGAAATGTGAGTGCGATTTGCATATCTTCTTCTGGAAAAAAACGGCAGTGTAGCCATAGCCAAGGAGAGCATGACTATTTGTAGTTGACTCAGATTTGTTCAGCATCTTAAGGCTGAGCTATGTGTGGATAATTTGCATTTTGGTGAGTTTACTAGTTTGAGTTATTAGAAAGGATGATTATACATGCACTCCCAGGGTAGTGTTAATTTTCTTTTTATTTAATTTCATATTAAATATTGTAAGCATCACTTTTTGTTAACTATCCATTGTTTTAATATATTTTCTTCCATACCTATGAACTGTTTAAATGTACATGTTTTTTGTTAGTGTGTGGATGTGCACCACCAATACAATCTCACTATGGGTACTGCCCGTAAGAAATTTCAACCCACCCAAGGACAGAAAATGTTACAGGGAACACTGCTTCTCAGCCCTGGATTTAAGTTTAGAGTCCTAAGTCCTAGCAGGATTTTGTAAAGATCCTGCAACATGCATCTCAAATCTGAGTTGCATATATATACTTCATGGGATAAGGAGAGAGGATAAACGCCAGACCTTGCTGAACATTACATTTTGACTTACTAACACTTGGATATTTCTGTGGAGTTTGGTTTGCATAACCCTTTTCTCCACAGGATGAGATGATACTACTGAGCAAGCAAACTTACCTTGCTAGAAATATTTTTATTTGTCCTGAAAAATATACCGATTGAATTGATAGTATAACACAGTATACACTTAGTATAATCTCAAATGGGATGGGAGCTAAGTTTTTTTAGAACCAGGTATATTGCACTCAATGTCTTTTTAAAAATTATTGCCATTTGGTGCTCTTTGGCACATTCAGAAAGCAAATAAAATTCTGTTCAAAAGGTATTTTTGAGTCCCAAAGATAAAATCATCTGGCAATACCCAGAGAAGATATGATATTCATCAGAAAAGTATCCATCTTTTCTCTGATGGTAGAATTCACTGCATGGAGGTTGCTGCAGCATATCAATGGTTGGACAAGACTGCCCTTATCTTTGGTTACCATGCAATAGTCCCTCTAATTTTTTCAATCCATATACAGAATAAATTTTGTTACATGCATTGAAGCATGTGACAAAGTGCACAACCAGAAGAAACACATGCTGCCAGCTGTGGGCACTCTGCCAATCAGTTGGGCGGTATTTGAATCTCTCTTGGATGGCTACCCAAAGCCCACAGCATACAGGGAATGCTGGCGTTAAGCATAGTTCCCTATTTCTTCCCCTTTATAACTGCACTCACATAGGAACTCACTTTTTCACACATCTCATCTTCTGTTCCTGAGATAAACAGCACAGGACACTTAACAAAAAATAAATCTTCATCCCGGAGTTTGGACTGAAGATTTGGTCGATGCAATGGATATGATAAACATATCAGACCGCGAATGAAATCCTCATTGTCATCCTGGCTAATCTGACGTAGCACGGAGGCAGCTGCTCGTGAACCCATCGAACGACCTACCTCCCATTTAAAAGTAAAGAATAAAAGTATTTACTATCATGTCATTTACATTTGCACTGAGGAACACCACTCCTGTAAGTTGTCTTATGTAGGGAATATTGTTATGCTAATAGGACATATAAGCTACAAAATTACTATGAAGGGACAACAGGGACTTTAGTTTACCAAGTAATTGGAGTACACCACCAAGAACATTAGTGCTGTCAGATAATTGAACTGGGAGCACTTAACAGCTTTACATTCCGGACTAAGAAAACTATAGAGGATGAAACAAAAAAATGGTGTGGGGGTGGGAGGAAAGAAGCAGGGTACAATGACATATATGGGTTATTGCCCATTTCTTAAGTGGAAAGAAGAACACAGAAAAACTATAATTCACGATCCTCAAAATACTATGGAACAGTTACAATATTCTTATACCAAAAGGACACAGTACTGACTGCCTTAGTCTGCTAATAGTAAAAATAAAGTTCCTGTGACCTACATTTCAAATCAGGCAAAGACATCCACCACAGATGTATTTCAAGTGAGTACTCTACTACACTTGAACGTCTTTAATCTGGCAGCCCTGGGAAATGGGGTTTGTGGGATTGAAGACTTTGTCAGGCCAGAGAAGGAGTGAGGGAGATGGGGGTAGAGCGCTTACCTGGCACTCTGCATTCCCTTCTACTCCCAGGCACCACCCCTCACTGCTCAGTAGAGGGACAGGTTGCTGCACTGCTGTTCCCCCAGCTGTAAGGGAGGGGGAGCAGCAGTATACAAAGCCATTTTTGCCTGGCAGAGTCCATACAATGGGTGTTCCGGAATTAGGGACACACAAAGTATGGCGGTTACAGTGTACTTAAACCTTCAGTGTACACTTATGAATACAAACTGAAAAATTTAAATCTGCATGAGACTGTACAAGTCAAATACGAGGCCAAAGTATCTCCCCCAAAAGAAGCCACGTGAGCTGATGGATTTAGTTTTTTAATGTGATTCCGGAGATGGATGGATTAAACTGTTTGTGAGGTTTGTTGCAGTCAGAGGAGATATGATTTTACCATTAGCTTAATGGGACAAGAACTAGAGATTCTGGAATCATGTAAATCCTACTTACTCCCAGGCAGATGCAGTAACCTGCAAGATGACCTAGAGAAAAGGTCTGAGGACTGAAGAGCAGCAAGAACTAGGATACCAGTGGTACAAGCACTGTCACTATTCATGTATATATATTTAAGTATATTTTTCTTAGTTACGCAATTTAAAAGAAATTTGTATATTAGATACCCAGTTTCTTTTTAGGTTTCCTTTATACAAAGCAGGAAATTTAGAACAGGTATAAGCAGGTACAATTCCACTATTCTATACTATATATGAATTCCTCTTGCTTTGATTGTGTGTATGTGTGTGTGTGTGTGTGTGGGGGGGTGTTCTATTGTTCTGCTACTGCATGCAGCTACAGGGCTTGTATAGATGGCTTGAATACCAAAATGGTATTCAGTTTGAAAAACACAGCTTATTACAACCATTTCCTGCAAGTCCAGAATGAATGTGGGTTTCAGATGACTAAATAAAATGTACACTAAACAATATAAAATGACAAAGGGTAACTTTTAAATTAGAATGCAATCTTGTTATTTTATTTTAGATTTTCTAAACTATAGAACTTTGTATGGAAATACTTGTTTTTTCTTTATTTAAAACTACCTTTCTATACATACTTTGGAGTTAAACAGTTGAAGAGAAAAAATAATGGTAAGATTCTAGTCTTCAGCAATATTGCGAAATTAGCATTGCTAAGTACTACTGTACAGTATATTACTATGTTATTTACCAATATCAAATGTCAGAAAGTTAAAAAAGGCAGACATTATCAATTAATTACTTAATGGAAGGATATGGATGTCACTTCTGGGCACCTGATTTCAGTCCCCCCAATTTGATATTCTTCCATACTCCCTCAGTTATATCTGTTTCAAATTATAGATCAAGTAATAGATTTAGACAACTGCATACTCCTCAGGAGCTATGGGTTTCCTGGACTTTTGGAAGAATCCTGAGGACTCCCAATTTTTCCCATGCCTCGGGAATGGAATAATGATACAATGTACCTTTAAAACCACCATTAGAGACAGGATTGCAAACAAAAACCTAACCTGACACTTACCTCCAAGAAAGACACTGGAAAGTTTATATTCACTGGAGGACTTTAAATATTCCTAAAGAAATGAAACATTTTTCATTAATTTAGAAGACAGCATTTTAGAATACACTATAAAAGTTATTATAGCTGGAGAATCTGAAATTGGATACTTCCCTTACTCCTCCTACTCCCAATAAAACAAGCAGTTATTTTATATGTTTCTTCTCCTCGCTTTCTCACACCGATAAACAAATATTTCTGCAATGCTTTTAAAGCAAGAACAATATAAAACTCAATAATCAAAAGCTACCCTACAATAATACACCAATGGCTGTGTCTAGACTGGCCAGTTTTTCCGGAAAATCAACTGTTTTTCCGAAAAAACTTGCCAGCTGTCTACACTGGCTGCTTGAATTTCCGCAAAAGCACTGACTTCCTACTGTAAGAAATCAGTGCTTTTTGCAGAAATACTATGCTGCTCCCGTTCGGGCAAAAGTCCCTTTTGCGCAAAATTTTTGCGCAAAAGGGCCAGTGTAGACAGCTCAGATTTGTTTTGCGCAAAAAAGCCCTGATTGCAAAAATGGCGATTGGGGCTTTTTTTGCGCAAAAGTGCGTCTAGATTGGCCACAGACGCTTTTTCACAAAAAGTGCTTTTGCAAAAAGCGTCCGTGCCAATCTAGACACTTTTCCGAAAATGCTTTTAACAGAAAACTTTTCCGTTAAAAGCATTTCTGGAAAATCATGCCAGTCTAGACGTAGCCCAATGTGTCTAAGTTAGACGTGATAAATGTAGTGAGAGAATATTTCAGTTTCAAGTTTTGAAAAGATTATAAATTATAAATGGTACACATCCTTCCAGTGTTCTCTAGATAAACATTCATTACAATACAGTTCTGAATTCCTAACCAAACTGTTTTGAAAAACAATATTATTGTGTACTTTTAAAGAAACTTCAACACAAAGCTCCTTAGAAGGCCTTAATTAACATTAGTGAGATCTAATTTCAGTAGAATACTGTGTTAAAACACAACATATAGAAACAATTGTGATGCCAAAGTACAAACGGAATCTCAGAGAGCTGGACTGTGTTCTTCTTTTATTCAGTCAAGTAGGTGAGTATGGCTTCTTGACTTACTTGCTAGGTCTATCCTAAATCTTGTGACTGAATTTGACCTATCTTAAATCTTGGTAGGATTTTGAAATAATGGATGGCTTATTCAAAAACCTGTAAACCTCATTCTATGTGAAATAACATCTATTCCAAAATAGCTATTTTGAAATAAGGTGTGTGTAGACGCTCCAAGCTGCTATGTTGACAAAAGCCTATAGTCTAGACGTACCCCTAGATGCAATAACACCTTCTGTCGACAAAAGGCATTATGCCTCGTAAAATGAGGTTTACCAGCGTCGACAAAACTGCTGAGTTCTGTCGACAGAACTCAGTGGTAGTGTAGACGCAGGTATACTTTTGTCGACAAAAGTCCACTTTTGTCGACAAAACTCAGTAGTCTAGACACACCCTAAGAGTGCAGTACCTGTTCTCCAGATACAAGATATGGACAAAGTTCTGGGTCTAGCTCCTACTCCTGGCCAAGAAGCTGGCTGGGCAAAGGAGGCAGCAGGAACAAAGTGCACCTTTCCAAGGTCTGTACTACCTCTCACCCATCCCAGGGCTGAAAAAGAACTGAGAGATCCCTGGAGAGTCTTCCTAAAGGCTTAATCTAGTGTTGAGTGATTATAGTGGAATGATGTCAAATACAATAAAAACCACATAAAAATACACACAAAAAAAGTTTGGTTTGTTTTGCCTAGCAAAACAAAGCTATGGGGGATATTTTTCCAAGGTCTGTACTACCTCTCACCCATCCCAGGGCTGAAAAAGAACTGAGAGATCCCTGGAGAGTCTTCCTAAAGGCTTAATCTAGTGTTGAGTGATTATAGTGGAATGATGTCAAATACAATAAAAACCACATAAAAATACACACAAAAAAAGTTTGGTTTGTTTTGCCTAGCAAAACAAAGCTATGGGGGATATTATTGCTCTTTATAAATATACTGGGGGGGGGGGGGGGGGGGGGTTGTGTTGCGCGCAC